ATATTTACCATAAATTAAAGGTATCTTATATTATTAGATATATTATTATAAAACATGCTTTAGTTAAGGAGTTATTGATATACTTCAAGTGCAAAATAATGATATAAAACCATGATAAAAATATACTTTAAAGTACTAATTAAATATGAACTTACAGAAACGAATGGATATGGAGAAAAGGGCTAAGGCTCGTCAATGCATGAAAACTCATTTTGATTCGAAGAGATTGTCATGCATGGAGGTGGATAGTTCTGATCAGAAAATTAAGGAAGAATCGAGCACGAATGAGAGTGAAAAAAATGATGCTTACTAGTCAACCCTTGATTTGTTGCTCCAGACTGCTAAGGAGATCTTCAGTGATGCTTCTCATCTTCCCAACTTTCAATGATGAAAGAAAGATCTGAAACATAGAAGAGAGAATATTGAAGTGAATAGGGCCTAGTGAATTAATTCACTTGGCACTGTTCATGTGAACAATGTCTCCAACCCATTGAATTTTTTTTAATTGTATTTTACTTGAAAAAAATTAGTTTAATATTATTTAATAACACTACATAAATTAGAAGTAGATTTCATGATGGTATAATATTTGTAGAATTTGATTGTAATTTTAATTTTATTTCTAATGATATTTTACTTAATTTTGTTGTACACTCAAAAAACCATGAAAATTATAGTATTTATTAGATGAATTTCATACGTGATGAAATTATAGATAAGTTAATGGAACAATAAAAAATATTTAATATAAAGTATTATTTATTTAATTATATAATAGTTGTACTTAAATCTATAGTATTTAAATTAAAAATTATTAATATTAATATATATCTTTTTTAATTTTTTTATAACCTCAATTTAAAAGGCATTCTTTAACCAAACACATTAAACTACTTTTTGTTTAATCTCAATTTCAACCATAATTTTAACTAAATATATATTTTTTAAAATTAATTTTAATTTTAATTAATTTTTATAAATATTTTTTTTCAAATTATAATTATAACAACTATTATAATACCAAATACTCTCTCGAAAGCACCGTGGTGAACTCTGTTACCCTTATAGACATCTTGAAGTTTTTCAAATTATTCTAGCTTCAAAGCCATTGAAGCCCATCTATGGAGTTGCCGGCTGTGCAGGAGGAGAGGAAGTGTGGTTACTGTTGCTTTTTAAATAGCTTTTCGTGTCAAAATGCATGCCAACAATGTTTTTTTATTTTTTAAAAATCATTTTTTACATCAGCACATCAAAATGATTTGAAAACATTAAAAACATATTAATTTGAAGTTAATAAAAAAATAAAAAATTTTCAAATTTTTTTAAAAGCGCTTTTGAAACGTAGAAACAAACAGGCTGGAAAAAAAGATAGAAACTAGTGGCAGCTGGGGTTCTTTTTATTTCTTTATATATTATATGAAATAACTCTTGAAAATAAAGTAGTTTACGGACAATCTCCCAATGCTATATAGTTGATTCATACTTTATCACCGGTTAGATTTTTTTTTTCTAGTAAAAAAATTATATATACAATTTTTTCAACACATTCTTATAATTAAAAGAATTGTAAATGAAAATAAAAAATTATATAATCAAATAAATAAAAAATTATGTTTATTATTAAATTAAAAAATCTTAAATAATAACTAAAAATAAATATAAAAAAATTATTGTACATCAAGATATTAAATATGATAAGACGAGACCTTTATTCTATTATGCTTGAGAATCTTTTTATTAAAATATTTTTTATTTGACTAAACAATAATAAAAATACAAAGATATCATGTAAGGCTAAACGTATTAGAAATAATATTTAAAAATAAAAATATTTTTTTAATCAAACAATAATAAAAATAGTGATATACATTAAATTAATTGAATAAAATAAAAGGAAAACAATATTATATAAGATTATACACATTAGAAATATTATTTAAAAATAAAAAAATTATTTTATAAAATAAAATTTTTCTATACAAAAAGATTAAAAAATATAAATAAATAAAAAAAGCCTCTTCAAAAGTTAGAAGCATAACAAAAAATAATTATTATTTAAAAAAAATTCTCTAAACAAGATAGAAGAGAAAATGAATATTAATCTAAAATATAAAAATATAAAAAAATTAATTAAAAAATATAAAAATTTGTTGCTTTTAGCAAGCAAAGCCAACCTACTTTGCCCATTTCATTTAAGCTGTCGTGACTGGATTTTTTTTTTTGGCATATGAATTAGATGATATTTATTGAAAAATATTTAGATTACATGTTACATGTATTGCTTAGTTTCTGGTCATTACGGTCTATGGTCTTTTAAATTTAAAAACCAAAATTTTACTTTATTTTTTATTTAAAATTTCTAAAAAATATCATAGAAAACTTGATAAATCCACTTATAACTTCAAAAACCCCAAAACTCTTTCTAAAACTTAAAATAAACCTAAAATAAATTTTTTTACCATGGTCATATTTGGTTTTTTTAGAAATTTCAAGATAAACAAATCCCTCCTATAAGCTTTTCTTATAAAAGGAGTAATCTAACACTAATTTTAACTTTTTTTAGTGTTTGTAATCTATGTAAATGAAGATTTTTCCTCTGGCAGTGGATTCTAGCAACTTCTTCTATTTTCTTTCATGAGAGGAGCCAAAAAATTAAAAAAAAAATAAAATCAGAGTCAAAATTAATCATTCCCTTTAATTTTAGAAATTAAAAGGGTCTAATATCAATAATTTACAAAATATAAAGATTACAATAGATATTTTACCTAAACTTTTTAAAACCACTCATTCATTATCTACGTCTACGTGTATTTTAGTTTGGTTTCCATCCTTCAATCATATTACCTCAAAAAATTAGCTTATAATTTGATCTAATAAGGGTCAAATTAAAAAAATAGCATGATGAACGATACATCCACAGTATCATGAGCGGATTCAAATACATTTTGCACAATAAATTCTTCATGCCATTTAGTTTTTTAGTTAATAGATCATTTGTTAGAAAAGTTTTTTTAACTTATAATGTTTTCTGAATATTTTATAAACAATAATATATTAATGAGATTATTCAAATAATTCAACCACTGCTCTGTCATACAAACATTTTCTTCCATTGAATTTCTTTAAAACATTTTAAATAATCTATTCCATTAAAAATAAAAATATTTAACTTCTAGTTATTAATTAATTAATATTTAATTAAAATTAGAATTAATTGACTCAACGTGGTCACATGTAGAGTATAATTACAATACCAATACTCATACGTTTTGTTTTATTATATAATTTATAAAACTTCATAATCTTAGAGGTTGGATTTTAAGATTGGATATTTTTAGACACTCATGATTTTAATATTTGGTGCAAGCGTCCACTATTTTATGGTATTGTTTTAATTTAACAGCATGCTCGTTTTAATACTTGAAATTTAAGAGCATGATAATAATTATTTTTAATATTAGTTTATTAAAAAAATTTAATGTAAAAATATAAAAAAAATATTAAATTTTTAAAATATTTTTAAATTATAAAAATAAACTAGTTTAAACTATTATTTGTTTTAAAATTCATTCATGATGTTATTTTAATAAAATAAAAGATCTGATCTGTAATTAAACTTAGATCAAGTTTTAAATCGACGAGCCACCGAATTAACTCGCCCGGTTTGGCTTTTATATCTATTCTTCATGAGTGTGGTTTATGGCTATGGAGCCCGGTTTATGGCTAGCTCCACGTGGGTTGAAGCCAACATGGCGTGCGGATGGAGTTGAAGCTCCCATTGGTCCGAAATCTATCCAAGCTCAGATTTCATTATCCCACATGGCTCCATTCTAAGCCATTCTTTAGATCCTCGTTCCCCCACTCACTCATCGTGCAAGACAACATTAAAGCCGCAAACCGCAACAAGTGTCTGCAATTTCCAAAGGAAACAAACTCGCTCAGGAGGCGCCGCTACTTCCATCGAAGCGTGCATAGAAACCAACTTCATCTTCTTGAACCAGAGAGATGGCTGCTACCGCTGGAGCTGTCCTAAACGGACTGGGGTCTTCTTTCTTGTGCGGAGGGAAGAGGAACCAAGCCTTGCTGGGAATTGGAGCTAGTAGAACTGGAAGTTTTCCAGTTGGTACAAGAAAGTTGGTGGTGGTAGCTGCTGCTCAACCAAAAAAGTCATGGATCCCTGGTGTTAAAGGTGGTGGCAACTTGGTTGACCCCGAGTGGCTCGATGGCTCGTAAGTCTGATCTCTCCTCCACCCTCCTTTTTTATGCAACCATATCTGGGTCTTAATCTGAATTCTCTTCTATCATTGATGTCTTTTTCCTCAAGAGATGTTGAGTTCAAATCTCTTCTACCATGCGTACTTCCGGAATTTATTATGGTTGCTAGAGCTGAGGTATTCTAGTCTCCGCACATTTAATTTGCAGGCTCCCAGGTGACTACGGTTTCGACCCATTAGGGCTAGGCAAGGACCCAGCATTCCTCAAATGGTACAGGGAAGCTGAACTCATTCACGGTAGGTGGGCTATGGCTGCCGTGCTGGGTATCTTTGTTGGCCAAGCTTGGAGCGGCATCCCCTGGTTCGAGGCTGGTGCTGATCCTGGTGCCATTGCACCCTTCTCCTTCGGTTCCCTACTCGGCACCCAACTCATTCTCATGGGTTGGGTGGAGAGCAAGCGGTGGGTGGATTTCTTCAACCCCGAGTCCCAATCGGTGGAATGGGCGACACCATGGTCGAAAACTGCTGAGAATTTTGCCAACGCAACTGGTGACCAGGGGTACCCTGGCGGCAAGTTCTTTGACCCTTTGGGGTTTGCAGGGACTTTGAAGGATGGTGTGTACATTCCTGATGTGGAGAAGCTTGAGAGACTCAAAGTAGCTGAGATCAAGCATGCCAGGCTTGCCATGGTTGCTATGTTGATCTTTTACTTCGAGGCTGGTCAAGGCAAGACTCCTCTGGGTGCTCTTGGATTGTAAAGCCTTTACTTGATGATCATTTTCTGGCATTAATGTAGATACAGATCTAATTTCTCCTGCCGATAGAGTCTAATTTCTCCGAGCACAACTCACAGAAGTATGAAACTGACATAATAAAATCCATGCTTATATCTCATCACTCTCTTTTCTATTTCGTTCCCTTCTCAGATCTGTGGGCAAAAAAGAGAAGAAAAAAGATAAAATAAGTGCAATATGCCAGTAATGATAAACCGGAGAACGAGCTTATGAACCAGAAACTTTAACTCATACCACTTCGAAGTAGGGGCCCTTGAAAAAGAACTTGAAGGCTTTTCAAGTGCCCAAACAACCACAGAAAACAGAGGGATCACATGCTTGTAACTGCCATGGATAGATTTTGACCAATTTCGGATGAAAATCATAGAAAGAATTGATGAGATTTCTGTGGAAAAAAGAAACCAAGAAAAATCGACTGGTGACTGGCAGCAAATAGTAAAACTAGCAGAGATTATTCACTATCAGTAGCCATCAAAAACTCACCATCGCAAACTACCACACCTCCAACATAAGCTTTCCCCTCCATCTTTGCTATTCCAAAGCGTTTCTGCAGCTGGATAAGTGTCATTCTCATAACTACGGTGTCGCCGGCAATCACTGGTTTCCAGAATCTCACCTTGTCAGTTCCAGCAAAGAATAAATTCTCACGAGAGCCTCCAACTTCTAGTTGCAGCATGACCAAACCACCAACTTGTGCCATCGCCTGAACAAATGATCGTCAGCTAGTATCATTAGTTATGACATCTATCGAAAAGAAATACATCCATGTTCCATAAGTTGAAGAAGATTCTTTAGTTATGACATGTAACTTCCTCGACTGTTAGATGAAGCTTTAGTTATGACATAGAACTTCCACAAACTATGAATTGACAAGGAATACAAGACGGGCTAACAAGACTCAACTTTTGTTCTACTATATCAAATTGCTACAATGATAAATCCTTTATGTTATCCTAACTTAAGATGATGATCATAAGATCATCATGCTCTGGTACTTTCAGGTTCTATTAATCACTTTGTTGAGATTTGCTTTCATGGAACTAGGAAGAAACCCTAATATGCCAAGGAGAGGGAAAGATACCTAGATCCGTTAGAAAAACATTTAGTAAACAGTCCAAACAATGCCAAGGCATCAAATTGACATCTGGGGTGGAATTGTTTTTTCAATATTTAACCAAACTCAAACATGATACCATCAATCCCAAAATGTTAGCGATTAGTCAGTCAGTTTTTTCCCTCTCGATTCATTTTCTAGACCTGGTAATCCATGAGCATAGCAAAAACATCTTAAACTATATGTTGCTCCAGATACATGTTTAAGCAAAAAAAAAAAAAAGTAACAAAGGGAGAGTGGACAGCACATGCACATGCAAAAGTAGACACAATAAAAAAAATCTTAAAAAGTTTGTTCCTCCACACATATAGGGGATGCCTTCAAAAAATCAAGATACTTGTTAATTCGTGCAGCTTTAGTGTTATGGGGAAAAAAAATTCTACATACGAGGGCAAACAAGATGATGAACATGATAGTCTTTCATGCATTTCCATCAAATAAAGCATTACAAATGCACTATACACATGAACTGTTAGGCTCATATGGTAAAGAAAAATGACCTGCCATAAAAAAACTTAAGCAGCTAAAGTAGAAGATACTCCAGAACTGTAAGAGGAAGACCAGATTAAGAAAACACAGGCTTCCAAGGAATCAATCCTGATGATGGAGGTGCGAAGTTCAGCATCTGCAGTATCATGCAATTATCAGCTTTGATCATAGACATTAAGCTTAAAAGTAACAAAACTACAGTGGAGATACTTAATGTGCACTGAAAAAGGTTCTTTGGGTGATATTTCAACTATTTTCCTCACAATGGAGTTCATAACTCAATTCTTGTTTATTTTCTAAAATATTTTTTTCAAAATAAAAAAATAATAATAAAGGCTGACAACATGAAGAAAGTAGGCTGAGAAATTAAGTTGCAATTTTTGAAGAAAATTTAAGACCTAATTGTGCCCCATTATGCCCAAAAATAAAAAATAAAATACAAATTCAAGGTTAAATTAAATGATTATTAGATGAATTTGTATAAAAATTAAGTCTAATGACATAATTAAATTTTTAATAGGCCAATTTGATTTAATCATGGACCAAATTAAATTTAAATTATGTTTAAGAATTAATTTGGGTCCAAATGAAGGATTTAACTAAGTGCAAGGACTTAATTATACTTTAAATGAGTCACATTAATTTTATTTGAGGCTTACTTAGTGAAAAATTAAGTTTGGAAGCCTAATTTAGGCTTAATGGAGAAGATTGGAATTTTAGGAGATAAAATTTAATTTTTACCAAGTTAATTGATTGAAATTAGGGGTCAAATTGCAAGAAAATAGAAGTTTTGGGGTCAATTAGGGATTAAATTGACAAAATTTATAGTCAATGACCATTATGCAAAAGACGCGAAACTATAGGGGTTTAATTAACAAAATCCGGGGTCAAATTGAAAAAATTAAAAGTTTAATGGTCAATTAGGGATGAAATTGTATAAATCTGAGCTGAAGGATCATATTGCAAAAGGTGTGTAAATTCGGGGTTGAAGTTGAAGTTACATCGGAGCCAAATTGCATTAAATCAAAAGTTTAGGGTCAATTAGGGATTTTATTGAAAGCAATTGAAAGCTGGAGGACTAAATTGAAAATCGATAAAAAATCCTAATTTTAACTCAGAGAGAGAGACCAGGCGATGTATTGCCTGGTCATTTTTCATCATCTTCCTCGTAAAGCTGTTAGGGTAGCACTTTTGTAGGTGCATTTAATGCCTTGTTTGTTCCTTAAAATTGACAACTCATGCACCAAAATGGCCACCTGAAATCCCTCTATCCCCATGTACGTCATGTCCAGGCCTATAAAAGTAAAAAATGCTCCGGTGACTGGCCTAAAGTGTCAACCTCAGTTAGCCTTGGATAGTCAAATTTTGTAGCTCGAGGTGCACACTTTAAACCGATAGTTTGGAGTCTTTCGGTCAAATTAAGGGTTGAAAATTTTTTTCCCATTAAGACAAGATTGCCCTCTTCCACCTCTTATAAATAGAGGAGGATTTAATGGCTAGGGGACAAGAAAAATTGAGTGAAAAATTGACAAAATATAAGCCTTTCTTCCCTATTTTCATCCTTTTCTGCTTCTTCATTCTCAGCAACACCTTCGGCCACTGCAACCACTCTCACCACTATCTTTCCCAGCACACTCTCCATCCCAGCCACACACTCGACAACCTCACGTGATGGCTGCACCACCTCTCTCTCTCTCTTCTCTATGAAACTTTTTTTTCTCTTCAACACCGCGACCCATCAAGCAGCGGCAACCACCCTTTCCAGTGGCTTCCACCCTTACCAACAGTAGTAAAGGCAACGACTCTCTCCTCATCCACCCCAACCGCAAGCAATCCCAACATTGACTGCGACAATAGCAGAACCTGCAACTCAAGCAGCAGCAACCCCAGTGGCTGAACTCAAACTGTTGCCACTGCTTGCACCAAGTCTTCCTCCCCGGTCAGACCACCCTCACGCTAGGTGACTTTCCCCTTCCTCTTCCTCCCCCTTTTCTTGTTCTTCCTCGTCGTTGTTCACTACATGAACAGTAGGCATGAATTATAATTCACGCCCACTGTTCATGCAGTGGATGTTGGGTCGGGCCGCATCTGGCCTAGCCCAAATTTTTAGGCCAAGTCCGACTCAACACCAAAGAAATAAATAAAAAATATTGGGCCAAGATCGGTCTGACCTCTTCTGTGGCTGGGTCAGCCCAGCCCATGTAATTTTTATTTATTTATAATAATATATTATAATATTTTAAAAAAACACGAAAAAAATTCCAAAAAATTTCAAAAAAATCTTTTTTTAAATTTATGATTTTCTCAAGTATTTTTCTACCAATTTTGCATGATATCAGGTTGTATATTTATTACCAATTTTGCATGATAACAGGTTGTATATTTACATTGTAAAATATAAATCCAGTATTAAAATACCTGATTTTCTCCAAAAAAAATAAATTTCATGCATACAGTCAAAACCTAAAAAATATTTTTTCAAGCATATTTTCACTAAAAAAATCTTTTTTTTATTTTTAAGATCTATATGTAAACTTTAATATTTGTGGGTGTAAAATTATACAATAAAATACACCTTCAGGTATTAAAGCTACAAGGTATAAATAAATATGATGCTAAAATTTAGATTTTAGAACGGTTAGGATTAACCTAGTAAGGTAGAGACTTTCTCATAAAAAAATATCTACCTTAAACCTTAGAAAAGACTAATAAATAAAAACTCGATTTAGAAAGCAATTAAACAACAATGTAATTTACCTTAGGTAGGGTGCGCTGGGGTGATGCGTCCTCCCCTTGCACAACCAATCATTTACCTAGACTCTCACAGATCATAGGTTTCTAGTTACTATAATACTAGGTAATGACTCCTAAACAAATCAAGCAAATGAACTATAAAATCGCCAATGGATGCCGCATATTGACGTGCAACAATGTAAAGCTCAGTAGAAAAAGATGCTATGTTTCCTTTGAAAAGTTTTTCACAGGGCCTTTTCTTAAAGCAGTTGATCCTAAACACATTAATAAGGTGGCATGAGCACATAGCAGTAAAGAGAGAAAATGGTGATCTCGGAATAAGAAGAAAGTGTGTATCAGGAATTTCCCAAACAAATTGACTTATATTTCTATACACATACTGGGACCATATCAATACCTCCTCTGCATGCATGATGTGGAACCTTCTAGCTTAGGAAGTTTGAAGACGTGTGTCATATGATAGAAATTGACAAGAAATTCAAGAACTTCTACAGCCTCAGCCAAAAAGATCATCAATATATTCTTAAAGGCAAATCAGGCGGTGTCCTACATATGATCTTAGTGAACGTAGAGGACTCGGGAAATGGCTCTTCGCTTAAATTATTCCCTAACAAGTCATGTAAACCTCTAACTTTTTTCATTTTTTTTAACTACTTTCTGTCTGGGCATCTGAAAGAAGAGTCAATAAGACCTGATTCACATGTACATATACAGCAAATAGATTTAAGAGAGCCAATTTGGGTAAAGAGAAATTTCACTTACGTTTGCTTGTCCCCAGGTAATTCAAATCTGGGACATGTAGACATAATGCCGAGTTTGCATCGCTGTTATTTAGATGATCATTACCAAGAATCACTAGAAAAGCCATGCATAAGCAAAACATTATCTCAACCATAAAAACACCAGGCACAATAGGCCTCTCGGGGAAATGACCAAGGAAGAAATTGTCACATTCTTAATGGCAACAGCTGAAACTCCAGGATTGTTCTATCCACCAACTGAAATGGAAACCTAAAAGCAAAAGAAATAAAGCCCAAAATTAAAAATGGCTAGTGAATTTAGAAACACATAAAATGCCGAGGTTGTTATTGTTGAGGATGGAGTGGAAAGTTTAGAACTTACACAAGTGCTCATAAATTTTAAATAAAAATAAAAATCTATAATAGTAATTATATCACCTAAACATTCTAACATGGTGTTTGGAACCGTGAAATTGAATTCAACTTTAAGAGTTAAATTAATTTTTTAGTTTTGAACAGTACTAATTTCAATTTCAAATGAAATTTAATTGCTAAGATATAACAAAAAAAAAAAACAAATCAAAGAGGAGACCTTCTAATTTGCTATAATAATTCCTATTGGAATTAATTTTAAAAATAATATTTTAAAAATACCCTTAATAATACAAATCCTATATTTTACAAAACTCTCCACTGTCTCTTTTCCTTATTTTCCTGTAAGAACAAATATTTTTCCTATAAATTAGTGTTATTTTAATCCTCCTTTTGGTTTATTGTTTGAATATGTTCTTGTATCTTGTTATTTTCTTTGCTAGGCATGTTAACTTTAGGAAGACAAATAGAGACCATTGGAAGCTTAGATGGTTTTCATTCTAGTTTAGTTGAAAATCTCACTTGGCTCGTTCCTTTACTCCCACATATTTTCACTATACCTATTAGCCATTTACTTTTTTTTAGGAAAACCTTTCCCTTATGATATGTAGTAGAAATCTCATAGTGACTTAAATATCTATTGTGGTTTTGAAATTTAGAGATAAGAAATGCAGGATGATGTATGGTATTACATGACTTTAAGAATAGAAAATTGAACTTACAAAGTCACTAGTTTTACATTAAACATGGACAAAAAGAGTGTTGTTACCCTTTTTTTACCACAAATAATACACACACACACTCTCTCTCTCACACACACACAAAAGAGGACATATATGAAAAAAGTCTAAAAGATTGCCCAAATGGAGGTGGAATACCAAGATGACAAGTAGAAAAGTTTGAAGACTAAAATGTATAAGATTGATAAAATTGACAGCCCAATTCTGATTGATAAAAAGCTCCACTGGTAAAAATATTTTTATATAGGGTAAAGAAACACGAAATTGGATGAGTAAGGACTCAATGAGAATTTTGGAAGGCTTAATTAATATTATTAAGGACTTAATTGCAAAGAAAATAAGTTTTTTTAGCCAATTTGGGTGTTAATTGGAAGAAATTGAAATTTAGGAAATTGAAATTAGACTGTGAAAGGTTTAATTAGTCAAATCATGGGCTTAATTGTGAAAAAAAAGTTTAGATGCCATTTAAGGACTTAACTGTATATTCTCAAGACCAAGGACCAACCTGTAAGTGGCGCGTAATTGTAGGGGCTGAAATTGATAAAATTAGGAGAAAAATTGAAAAGATTCAAGATTTTAGTGGTAAATTAAGGCTGAAATTTAACAAATTAAAAATTAAGAACTCATTTGTAAAAGGCTTTAAACTCTACGGCTAACATTTGGATTTGACAGAGGGTGCAATTGGATGCAATTAAATGTTGAGAGACAATTATTGATGCAATTAAAAGAAATTGAAAGAGTAGGGACTAAATTAAAATTGATTAAATTTCCAATTAAAAAGCCCTAATTTCTAGAGTTTAACTTAGATGACGTGTTGTTCACCCACTGTTCATTTTCTTCCTTAGTAATTTTAGATGTTTTAGCTAGCATGTTTAGGTGAATGAATATGGTGTCTTCGACCACCTCAGGGGCTTAACCACCATCATTCAATTAAGAAACACTCCCTCTACAATCCTATGCCTATGAAATTGAATGTTTATACCCTAATTTTTTCATAGAAGTCTCTAATATCTTATTTCTAATAAGCTTTCCTTGTGTTTTCAGATTCTAAACTAATTGAGTTAACACCTTTAAATGAATAAATGTGAAGTTAAGGACATCTACATTGAGTAAAGATTTATCCAAACAAAATGTATGCACCTCCTTTACCAATTTCAAGTGGTTTCTGATGAGGTTTGCATTAAAGTTACCAACTCGATTTGTTATTTTTCAAAAAACCATCTATTTTTTTTGTGTATTCACACTTAAAACTTCTCAAATGATTCTTAATTAATGGTTTAAAAAACTTTCATCTCAAGATCAAAAGGTCAGAAATAGCTTTTTGCCTTCCAAATATAGCAAAACTACGAAGTATCTCTAAAATCAAAACTACCATTGCAAAACCAACACAGTACAAGCTCTTCCAATTATTATTTTTTATCTAACTCCTCTCACTTTGATTGAAGGGCTAAGTTTTGATCAATTTAAGGGAATTCATAAAAAAAAACTAGAAATACCCATATAAATCAAAAAAGAGAAAAAGAAAATAAAGAGAGGGAAAACATAGAGAAATACATCTGTTGATATACCCTACTATGAAGGTTCAAAAGCATAACATTAAAAGATCTAATAAGATTTGGAACTAAAAAGAGTGAAACAGAAAAGAAAAGAAAAAACAACAATCCATAGTTAGTTAACTTTGAGAAAGTATAACTATATATAACAACTCAATGATGAAATCCATGTGACCTGTCTATTCATGCTTTCTTAATGTTTAAACATCTTTTGATGTTTTTTGAATTTATTTTAGTATCATGATGTTTTCTAATTTTGTTTTGATTATTATATACAAATATTGTTTTTATTATTTAAATCTTATTTGGAGTTACTGTTGATGTTATTGAGTGTCAAAACAATATGTTTGTGACTGATTTTAATCAAATAAGATAGTTTTAGATTTTTAAAAATGATGATAATGGATGTTTAATATCTTTTCTATTTTTGTTAGTATATGTTCTTGGTTTTTGAATATGGTTTGAGTTCGAAGTGTAATTTTTCCTTTTTTTTATAATTAAAAAACTAATTTTCAAAAGTTTGTCACTAAATATAACCATTAGAATACAATCATTAAAAACATAAATTGAAACATAACTGTTATAATATTTGAATTTTAAAAATAATTAAAATAATTTATTCAAAAACTAAAAATAAAATATTTTTTATTTTGATTTTATTTTAAAGAGTATGAATATTATAATGCTAAAAAAAACTTATTTAAATAATGTTTTAGCTAAAATTTAGTTAAAAGATAAAATATATTTACATTAACAAGAACTAATTGAAGATGAGAAATTATTATTCCCTTAGTCACTGTTTATTGAAATAATAATTAATTCTTTTATTTTTTAATTTTTTTTGTCATTTAATACTTGGTTTTATAATTTATTTTAATTTTTTTATCAAGTTTTTCCAGTATCGTGATCCGAGTCACAATTTTGATGAGTTAAATCAGTTAACTCAAGTCCTTTATCCTTTTTTTTTATTGAATCTTTTCTTATTTCATTATTTAATTGTTAATTGATAATTAAATTTTATTATTTATTTTGATTTGATTTTTATAAGATCTAATCTTGTGACTCAGGTCTTAGATTTGATGGGTTAACATGGTTGACTCAGATTATTTTTTGGTTTTTTTTAATTTTTTTTTAATTTTATTATTTAATATTGAATTGATTATAAATTAAACTTCATAATTTATTTTAATTTACTTTATATAATATGATCATGATCTTATTATATAAATCACGAGTTTAATTAGTTAATCTACATTGATTATAGTCACAGTTTTAAAAAATTACTCCAAGTTGATTCAAATTAATTTAATATATTTATATTTTAAAATTTTAAAAATAAAATCATCTTATTTTTTTTATTTAAATTATATTTTTATAAGATGTTAATATTATTTTTAAATCTATAAAGTCAACTAAATCAAATTAACTTAAACTTCACTTAAATTTTTTCTATTATATTTTCGAACATGTTAATTTTTTCTTATCCGACAGGCGCGCACGCACGCACGCAGCGGGTAGCGCGGGATAATAATTTAGTGGAAGCTGTAAGCTTAACCTAATTTCTTTATGCTAATCTCACCATATATATATATATATGTATAAAAGGTCTATCTCATTTTCCACGCCTATAAAAACCAAGACCAGGTCAACAATTCTTTTCAAGCAGTCCATTTCCCTGTCCAAGCTCCAACAGAGAGAGGGAGAGAGATAGAGAGGGAGGGACAGTCAACTCTCTAATGGACTCCAACAACAATAACAACTACTCTTCCCCCTCCACCACCACCTCCTCCCCTCCCCCCCCGACCACCACCACCACCGACCCAGTTCAATCCTGGTGGGAATCAGTCTCCAAAGCCCGTTCACGCATCCTCTCCCTCTCCTCAATCCTCCCTTCACCCCCTTCTTCCTCTTCCTTCTCGCTTTCCTCCCTAGCCGACTCCGACCGCCCTGCCATTTCCTTTATCTCTTCCCCAGAAGCTTACTCTCACATCTCCTCCTCCCTTTCTTCTCCTCTTTCCGGCTCTGGCTCCGATCCCCTCTGCCAATGGCTTTACGAAACTTACCTTTCCTCTGATCCTAACCTCCGTCTCATTGTCCTCTCTTTCCTTCCTCTTCTGTCTGGCATTTATCTCTCTCGGATCCACTCTTCTGATTCCTCTTCTGCTCCTTCCCTCGCTGGCTTCGAAGCTGTTCTTCTTGCCGTCTATTCGTCCGAGGTTAAATCTCGTGGCGGAAAGCCTGTGGTTGTCCAAATTCCTCATCTTTCTCAACCTTCTCTTTATCACGTCCCGCGAAACAAGCCGCATAAATCGCAGGTTCAGGCTCCTTCTACTGCGGTTCTGTCCCCCCCACTTGAGCCCCAGATCGCTATTAAGTCTACTAAAAGGCCTGTCATTGTTGGGGTCGCTTTGGACTGTTACTTCAAACACATCTCACAGATGCCCAGTTGGTCTAAAGTCGAATTGTGCCGGTTTGCGGCCGCCTGGGCTGGACAGGATTGTGCTTGCCAAGATAAATTTGATGAATGTGATGATGCTGATTATTTCTTGGAGGGAAGGAATGCAATGATAAGCATTAATGGGATTGAAGACAGCTCGGGGATCTCTGAGTCTGAGCCTAAGGGAGTAAGGATTCCTCTGCCTTGGGAGATTTTGCAGCCATTGTTGAGGATTTTAGGGCATTGTTTGTTGGGGCCATTGAATACACAAGATGCTAAGGATGCTGCTTCTGTTGCTGTAAGAAGGTTGTATGCTAGAGGGTCTCATGATTTGGTTCCACAGGCGATTTTAGCGACCAGGAGTCTAATTCAGCTTGATAAGAGAACGCGTGAAAGTGAAAAGGCAACAGCTGCAAATACTTCTTCAAATGCTAACACCCCCGCCAAAGCTAAGAAGCCTGAAATTCTCCTAGTCTCAAAGTGAAAGTGATTTGTTTTGGCTGCGATTGGCGTGGCGGGTAACCTCTAGGTTTAAATCATTAATTTTATTAATGCTTCATAATACCTACTTTAAATCTGTCATAGCTATTTGCAATGGATCTTACAGAACATGCTCATCTATGGCATGTAAGTGGTTTCACTTTCTTGTCAGCACTGCACACCAAGTAGAAAATTATGTTTCCAAAACTTCGTTCTTTGTTACGCATCATATATATACATATATACATATATATATATATATATAAATTTTTTGTTATCTTCTCATTAGTGTTTGACTCTTGCCTATTAACTCTACAGAACGAACTGATACCCTTTGAAAAATTGATACAATCTGTCAACAAAATGTGTTTTTTACACTAATTTCTTATTCCATGGAAAAGACTGTTATGCACCCAACTTAATCAATACTGCTCCATGAAGTCACGCATCATTGCTTTATCAACGTTCTGCTAGTGGGATAGTGGCTTATCTCTAAAGTAGTGTTTGAGTGCTCTTAGGAGTAAATTTAGTATCCACTCTAGTTGGTGTTTATTAGTTGCTACTTATTAGGAGATGTCATTGTACTCCTCTTTATAGATTAAAAAATGACGGTGAATAAAAGGGGAGTTGTCATTTTTTAAGTAAAATTGAACTTCGCTCATTGGGATGATTTTGGGTTTCCCTTGAAGAAATCCTATTACCACTAATTTTCTGTATCCAAATTGGTTAGTGCCCCCTCTTAAGAGTTTCTACTAATAATCAGGGCAGTGAAAGGTTCTCTTGATAATGCATTTGATTCTGCATGGAAAATTGGTTGCTCTATCACAAATGTCAGTATTCATATGCAGTTTCTATGTTTAGTTCTGTTTGTGCAAATTACAACTGTTGGGTCAATGTCGGTGGGAAATTTGAGATCCTAAACCTGAAAAGGAAGCTTCTATGGGAAAGTTTCTAAGAGTGAGTTGAAATTTGAGATAGACCTTCAGAGAAATAGTAAACTTGATAAGGAACATATAAATCACCTAGCACTCCCAGGAAACATTCGTCATGATCAAGCATCACTCCTAAGAAAGCCAGTCACTGTGAACCTGATATCTGTAGCCTCTCAACATTTTGGTTGAAACTTCCTTTCCAAAATAAACCTCACAGCTACATACAGCCCCTCTAAGAAGGTTACTTGGGGAGGTGCCTCCAAGTTACAGACTGAGCAGGTAACTTCAATAAGGATGACATTCTTAAAAAGCAAGTGTCCTACATCTAGATATTCAGTTGACCGATATATTCAGTTGGCATAATGACTATTGATTAAATAGATTGAGTTTTTGTCAGAGAATAGGTTTTCTTGATATAGAGAACTACTAGCCTCGCACTAGTAGATTCAAGGATTTACCCCTTGATTGTAGGCATCCCACTTTTTCACATATTTAGGCCGAGGGCTGCATGTTTTCAATAAGATCACATACTAAAATTGAAAGAATACAAGCATATATAATGCTTGTGTTATTCTTACTCTTAATGAGACTTAAATTCCTATTTAGGAAAACATAAGGACTACTATACAAGAGACATAACTAAGTGTAGTCATAAAAGCAACAAGGTAGTATATAAAAGTCCAGCCCTGTTATCTAGAAGCTGCCTTTGCTGGAACTCAAAAGAACTAGGAAACGAAAACCAGCTCTCTTAACCAATCTTTGAAGGCATTAATCCATATAGTTAAAGCTTGGTTTTGATATCCCCTTTTGTCTACTTTGTAAATATTGACCTTCAGTTGCATTATCTGCTGACTGGAAGCATGCCATATTTCTCTGTGAGAATAAGTTCTATGAGTTGCATTCTTTAGTGGACTAGTTCTTGATGGTTGTTCACCTGATGAATGGTTACAAGGATTTTTTCTACCCCCATAGAATGTTTTTCTGAGTCTCGTGACCCAGAACATGTTATGTTTGTGATCCTGTTAATTAAAAGTAGCAACCCAGCTGTTATCGTGTTGATAGTTTTAAGTTTTGAAAGAGATAGTTTCAAAAGAGATCTAAACATCGCGTTGCTAAAGGAATCCTAATGAGATAATGCAAGTAATCAAAACCCTTGATTCTCTCATTTTCATTTAACTGAAAAGGTATAGATTTAGTTGAGTTGAACTCTTTGATTCTGCTTCCTAGAAAAAAATGAGGGAGGAGATAATGTTGCTGCCTTGGGAAGAAAAGAGAAAATTGGAAATAGCATTATGTTGGAGAAATTCTTGTTCAGAAGTAATTAGATATATTTAATTTTGCAATTTACTGAATTTAAAAGGATTGGGTGTTTGCAAATAATACATGCATGCATATATGGGAATGACCTAAATTAAAGCAAACCATGACCTGACATAGTGAAACCCAACTAAGCCTACCCACCTTGTACCACAACTGGAGTAAGTGGCAAACTGCATTCCTTTAGCTTACCAAGTACCATAACGAACCAGGTCCCAGGTAACAACTTGGTATGAAGTGTGTCTTGAACTGTACAATCCAACAGATGTTATCATCCAGCCTGACAAGTTGGAAGAAAAATCTGAGTGGAAAATATTGTCAGCTTTGTCATGGTAACATTTGAACCCAATCCAATATTATTTAGGATCAAGTTAACCTTTTCCTTAAGGAATTAGTGTTACCAGTTTTTTTAGTAGCAAGAAAGTGCTCTCAGGATTGTGAGGTTATATGGACTCCCAAGCAGTGCAAATTGAACTTCGTACTTCTGTTGGCAAAGGTACATTTAAGTAACTTTCTTTGACCCAATAGATACTTGTGTAAGAAATTTTTATTGAACTGGAATAAGACTAATTTTAAGTTGTGGAGCACAGTGCTCATGGTATATGAAGAGATTAGAAGTTTGGTCTTTTTAGCCTTGAACAAATATATATAAGCGCTCATCTTGTTCCTTCATCAAGATGCAATAAGATTTAATTTCAACATTTGACATGGGGAGGGGACATGGTAAATATTTATCATTTTAGAACTGGAGAAGATGAATAAATTCAAATAGAACTTCTGTTTAACTTTAATTGAAACATGTTAACTATTGTTTTGCCTAAAAAATTCAGAGATTAGATGCTGGTTGGATTAGAGGATAAAAATTGATAAAAGAAACTTGATCCCTAAAGATCATTTAAAAGTTTATTTTTCAGGTCCTTGGCAAAATGTGTGAAGTCTTTAGTTGGAGCATTTCTGAGAAATAAATGAGCATAGGCTTGTTGCGTCCGATCACCGTACCAAAATTTACCGGTACTCAAGCCTTAAAGTTTTTAGGAGTGAATATCCATAACATTTGGCTTGTCAAATTGATTCTCTCAACTATTTCCAGAAATAGCACCTTGACTAAAAAATCTTGGATATGAGAAAATGCTGCCACCTGTGGCGATTTTGGAGTAACACAATGATTCCTTGTTTATTAGAGAAAAGTGCCAATCAACTTTTATCCTGTTAGAACGTGATGACCAAGCAGCTAGCATACATTGTAATTTCAATTATTCTTTCACTTTTCATTGGCAAATTATACTTGTTGTCTCCTTTTGACCTTGTTAGTGGCCCTTCTCACGCTTGAGATATTGGGAATATTGTTTACGATGAAAGAAATTTACAGTGGAATTGATGATTGCAGTGATGCTTGTTTTCACCAGGTTTTCTCATGAGTTTTCAGCTTATGCAGGTTTCTTCGGTACCTGTGACTATGAGTTGAAGCTGGATTACTCCAACAAGGGTTTTGTACCTTCTGAGGTGAAAATGCTCGACATTCAAAACAGCAAGAGAATGGCATCAAACAGCTAGAGATGCTTATGTTTAGAGGCGTACATTTCAAGAAAGATGAATACAATGATCATTATTCTGTAAACAAAGCTGTTTTTGGTATATATGTGGTCTTCTATTTAATGAGTTCTGTAGTTACTTTGTTGAAGGTATGCAAATAGTGAGGAGGACGTGCTTGGCTTTGTTATTGTTGTTTTGTTGTATACAGGCTTTATGGATTCCAAGGCTTGCGAGCCATAGCTGCCACCTTTTATTTAAGTTTCTGCGATTTGATTTCTTTTGTTGATGTTAAATGTCACAGTATGTTGGTTGCGCCAGGTTTCAGTCTGTCATGTATGCTTCATGACTATTCTGTTTGTCTTTGGAAAACTTCCTCCTTTTCTTCTTCTGACTTGTGTGTGATCAATCCAGTGATCCGTGACTCAGGACTGTTTCGGGTTGGTGTATTATTCATGGTGATCAACCGCACAATGCAACGCAAAAGGTGGTTTGCATGATCACCCTTTCCAAGTGGATCCCAACCTGACATGGTAACGTAGGTGCAGGGACAAGTTGCCTTTTTTTTTTTTTGAGTCAATTTCTGTTGAACAGGTCATTGATTTTTTTACAAAATGATATCGAGAAAAAATTAGATTGACTGGGGTTATTTTATCGACAAACCCAGCTATGGATTAGATCGGCGACTTCTGAGTATACAAACATGAAAAAAACTTGCATTTCTTTTGTACAAAAAAATATTGTATAGTATGCTCAACTAGGAGCACTGTGGCATCCACAAACTGTTCTGACTCTCCAGCTAAAATCCGTCCGAATATTTGGTCATAAACAAGCAGGTGATGATAGGCAGAGGTTGTAGAATAAAATAATTAATATATGCGAGCGTATAAATTGATGGTTCATGTTCTGTTTTAATATTAATCAATTAAAACAATCTAATTAATTAACCCAGGAAAATCCAATAGTTGATATCATAACATTCCTGGTTTTATCTTCAAGCAGGAACACTACTTGTCGGCTCTAGTAGCATTTTTAGCTTGGAAATTTAGGATATCTTGAGCTGCTCGCTAGCTGAGGCCAATTTTACATCCACGTCCAATTACTTAACTTCCATGGAACAGATCAGCTAGCTTCTACTTTGAAATTTGAGTTGCAGTCATGAGATTTTCTCCATTCCTGATCAAGCTGCTGTATCTGCTTCCGTCTGTCACCTTTCTCAATATTATACCTGCTCAAATATGCTACAGCAGCAGAGTTTGATCCTTCACAGTACTCTCAAATACAAGAAAGGGATGCCCTTTATGCTCTCAAGGCCAGTTTCAACAACTCTTTTCTGAATGATAATTGGACTGGCCCTCAGTGCAATACAGACTATTCCTCAACATGGCATGGCATTCAGCGCGTCGGTGGTCATGTTACTGGAATCTCTCTGGAAAGTATAGGGTTGGATGCTACATCAATTGATATCGATGCATTCCTCTTCCTCACCGAGCTGACTGTCCTAAGCTTCAAGAACAATTCAATATCAGGGGGGATAACAAGATGAAGAAACTTTGATTTATCGGGAAACAAGTTGTCAGGTTCAATCCGAAGGTCACTGCTAAGTCTTGAATTGTTGGAGTCGTTGCTTCTTTATGATAACTATTTGAAAGGCTCAATCACAGAATTTAACCATTCCAGCTTGAGAGTCTTTAATGTCTCTAGCAATGATCTCAATGGCTCGATCCCAACAACTCACACCCTGCAATCTTTTGGCCCTGATTCATATTCTAGTAACCCTCAACTGTGCAGCCCACCTACGCTTAACACCTGCAATAATGTTTCCACAGCAGTTGGATGGAGCAGCTGATCAGAACACACATTCTCCACCTGATGGACCCCCAAGAATGTCATCTAAACCTAATTTTGCAACCACGTACGTAGTTCTTGACGTTGTTGGTTTGGCTGCGGTGATTTTGCTCTTCATTTTTTACTTTAAGAAGGCTAGGAAGCTTAAGAAAATGATCAAGAAAGAGGATGAAAGAAAAGGAGGAGGAGATACTACTATTGTTGATGATGGCTTGAGGGATGAGATAGAGGAAAAGGGAAAGGATGTCGATATCAGAGAAGAAAAATGGAAGCTTATTTTCACAGAGGAGGAAGCAAAAAGTTTCCAGCTGAATGCTCTTCTAAAGAAGGAAGCAAAAAGTTGTTGGTGGGAGAAACCACTTGTGGTTGCTGAGGGTTTAGGCAAGGGGAACCTGGGAAATTGTTATAGAGCTATGGTGGAAAACAGGGCCGCTGTTGTTGTAAAGCAAATAAGGGATTTGAAGCCATTAAGTAGTGAGGAATTCACAAGGCAAATGCATATAATTGCTCATCAGAAGCACCCAAATACTACCAACTCAAAAAGCGTTGTCCTTCATGGCAACCTAAAATCAACAAATGTTCTTCTTGATTGGAACGGGATGATTTTGATATCAGATTATGGTTTCAGTTCACTAATAGCTCAATCCATTGCAGCTCAGAATCTTGTTTCATACAAACCACCTGGATATCAGAATACCAAAAAGGTGTCTAACATGTCTGATGTTTGGAGTTATGGTTGCCTTCCGCCATAACTCTTGACTGGAAAGCTATCAGTCTATTCGGCTCCTCCAGGACTGAAGGGAGTGGATCTTTGCAGTCAGGTGAATAAAGCAGTCAAGGAATAAGGGACAGCTGAGATACATGATATTGAGATTGCTGTACAAAGAAGTGCGTATTCTGGGATGCTAAAACTACTGCAAATTGCAAGCCGCTGCTGCGATAAGTTCCCCTATAACCGACCTGAAATGACAGAGTTGGAGAACATCAACGCTGTTGAATCAGAAGATGAAGAATTTGTGGATCAATCAGACGAATCTCTTCCAACAAGTGCCAGCTTAATTAACAAATGACATTAAACTGTCAGACTAAAAAACCACAACAACAGATCGGTGTTATTTTCATCATCAGAAAAATAAAATATCCAAATGCAGAAGAATGATTGCGAGGCTTGGAACAGTTGTTGTACCTGACATTTTTTTCTTTATGTAATTGCTTTGTTATTGTGACAAAAGTAAACCTATTGCTCTACAGCTTGTCATCCTTTTCAAGTTTTCTAGTCATTTAAAATTTGGGTTGCTAAATGCAGTTTTAGAGTCATCTTCAAATCTCAAGACACTACAAAGTTGCTGGATCTTAAGACACATCAAATCTCACAAGCAAATTGACCAAAGAGAGAGCTATATCCACCCTTGAGAACAAACTGTTACATGAATCTGATCTATCAGACCAAAATAATTTTAATTAATAACTGAAACAGTAAATCAAGACAGTGTAATTGGCTCGTCTAAGTAGCCAAGTTCATCTAACAATTTCTTCTCCAAAGGGCTTGGAAGTTTTCTCAATGCTACGCCATTGCAATCTTTTTTAAGGACCTTAAAGGATAGCACTATTGTTTTCAAATTACTCATCATATGCATTTAAAACAATCAGGAAAAAAAAAATCACAGCACCAGAAAGATTGTTGATACTTATAGTTGGCTGATTAATCAATGAGATTATGTGATAACACGACACTTGCAGATGCTGTCCAGCAAAGGAATAAAGTGGTAAATGACATTACAAGAAAAGATACAGAAACAGAAACTAAGCACACCCTCATACATGCATGCCTTCTTCACAACCTGATAAGCACTACAATTTGTATTCCAGTCTGTTCACCTTTGTATTTTATTTATATTATCGGATAGCAACTTCTGACGGTTGCTTAAACTCAAAAAAAAAAAGAAAAATAGAAAGTGTAAGCATATACAGTCAAGAATCAAAATTTACATTATACTCGCAACAGACTAATACGGCTAGGAAATGTGTCGAAGGAAAACCTGCAGCAGTCTGTTACATGGCCAGAACAATTAAAATGCAAAAGGGAGGCATTACGGGTCGATTACAAGAACAATATGGTCAATCATGATCAGACAGGAACACGGTAGGATGGATCAACCATTTTCAAGACAAACAGGTTTCCTTTGTCACCCCTGGATACTCTGTTGAAATAAAAAGGAACAGTATGTTACATACGCTGAAAATAGACATGCATGGTTGTGAGCTAGTAATTTGGTTGGTTACTATTGCACCGACAACAGAACATAAAGAATCAACATCATGCAAGTATATCCTGATTATTCATCAAAAACAAACGAATTATAACCTGATTATTAATCAAGAACTAATACAAACAAAAATGTTCTACTAGACTTGGTATTTTCGAATGAAATGGTTGCTTCCCACAGACACAGATTATGGACATGATTAATGGTTTATCATCATCAGACCAAGAACTAGTCATGTGTTTAACACGGGAATGAATTGGGCAAAAACATGCAAAGAATGATGATGCGTGTGTGTGTAAGCGCATGATCCTGCATCAAGCATCGAGCCAGAGTTGCACTGCTCAGTCGGTAGGCATGCAACATATCTCCTTCTTGGATTATGGCAGAAAGTATGTGCTAGTATGTGCTAGCATGTGTTTTTTTTTTTTGTAGATGAATGTTCTCTTTAACCTATGGTTTCTCATGCAGAAATCAGACCTTATTAAGCCACGATCTCCATCATTTCTTTCAGTTTAAAAAATTGCTAGTAATTAAGTTGACAAGGTTCTCTGATGTTGGTGCATTCTATTATCATAAAGTTAAACGTCAATAAGTTACATTATGCTATGATTGTTATCTGTATTCCATCCCTTGCAGTTCTTAAAGCACTCCTAATTCTTATGAATTAATGGTACACAAAAAATGAGTGCACTGACCGTAATTCTTCATCCAAATAAGTGATTTCCAGCTCACCACGAGCTCTTCCTGGTGCCTTAACTGGTATCTGTGCAGGATGTTAAGAGCATTTTGTGAAAAAGAAGTGGCAAAAGGACTTAGTGAAAAACATGTTGAGATATAGTGCTTCATAGGCTTGATTTTAGGGCTCAGGAATACTTGACTCATCATCAAATTGAAAACACCTTGCTAGTTTGTATCTATACAAATCCAGAAAAATAAGTGCTACATAATTATAGTTTACTATAAAAATAAGACGAGAGCACCTACCAGACCAAGAATCTTAAAAACATCGAACTTTACAGCAACTTTTTTTGCACTCAAAGGTGTTAAATCTGCAGTTACCTACAAAACATGAACGTCAAACTGATAAGAAGTTAGACTGAATTTACACCTTTTTTATTTTCAATGGAGAGCCCCTAACCGTAAACAGTTTTACTTGTGGAGACTTAACGTATAGTTTTCAAGAAAAACACAGAACACGGATGCAGTGGAAGTCTTTTCAGATAAAATAGTCGAGAGTGTAGGGTATATATAGTTTTTGTTCTTTATAAAAAACAAAAAAAGAGTAAAACGAAAATGGAATGCTTAAAAATCAAATTCCAATAATCTCTTTTACCTGGTTGAAGAATGGCCAAGATTCCATGTTCTGGGCCCTAAGTGTATCAGCATTGATTGCTTGGTAGTTTGTCCTGGATCTTAAGAGCTTTGGCCTCTGCACGACATGATTTCTCGAGTGATGTCAACTCGTACAAGAAATACAAGAAACAAAGCCACCTTTTTTCTTTTATTTATCATTAATATTTTCTTCATGAAAGACAAATCGAGACAAGATGCTTGGCAAGTATTCATTCAATTAACAAGTCAAGTGTGCAAAAAAAAGGGAAGGAAAGTGCTACCACCAGTTCCATTAATGGTGTATATTGATTGGATAATCCCATGAAACTTGTTTAGATTAGAATACATGGTGATGCTGTGATTGTTGGGATTAATTTCATACCAAGAAAATACGCTAAGATCACCAAAAGAAGTGAATGAAAAGTGTCAATTGTCCAAACATATTGAAGTGCCAAACAAGGGAAAAGAAATATTTGGAAGGATTAATTTGAAAAATACATAGAAACAACATGGTATCTGAGCTTACTTGTGTTTGCAAAATAGATTGTGAAGTCGTGTATAGAAGCTCCCATTTCCCGTCTAGTAAACCAGATTTCAATGGCTCCTTTGTCGGATTCACTGCTTCAAGCTTCCGAGCAATCTGTAACGAAATGACTTCCAAGAATCAAAAAAGAAATGAGAGACACATACAGTACCCAGTACTAAAACACCATCAAAAGCTTACATTTTTATCATATATATATATATATTAAGTTTGCCAATAGAGAAGATATATATCTTCGTGACAACTTGCGCATTCATCAAAATTAAATTCTTTCTTTAAAAGATCTTAAGAGCACATCCTCTACATTAGTTTAGCATTCAACAATATATTTTCTTGAACGTTAATCCTAAGTTCCCAACTAAGAAAATCTGTATTTGGGGTGCATTTTAATTAGCTCAAGTTCAAGAAAAGCTTCAACGTCATAAAATCTTCAGAGTTACGGCCAAAAATGATCATAAGGCAAAGATGAGGTGATGGGAATGGACCAACCTCATCAACTCTTTGTTGGTCTTCAGGAAAGGCGTCTGCTCCACGATCAAGGGAATCAATGGCATCAAGAAGTTCCTCCTTGAGGACCTTAGCACTCTTTCCCTTATTCAAGAAAGCAGGAAAGAAAGAAACCTTAGCGCTCCATGATCTATCAATGGTGGAGTAGCTTGAAGAAAGGTTAAAGTAGCTGGTTTGGTTGGAGGGTTTAGCAGTAGAGAAGAAGAAGTGAGAGGTGGTGAGTTTTGGAAATGGTGAGTGAGTTGAGAATTGAGAGGCTGTGAGGACTGCTGGAGACCGTGGGGATGAAGATAAGGCCATTGTCATGGCAGAGGTTTTGCAGTGAGTGATCTTGAGGTTGTCTTGTGTTTTACTTTAATAAAACCAATCTGCTTTTTTGCAAGAAAAAACAAAGGCCCGTAGACCTTGGCCCAACAAAAGCTTAAGTATCTAGTGTCTTTGGAAATACAGAAAACCATATTTTAAAAAATTTAATAATTTTTTGTTTAAAATAATTTTTTTATATTTTTTTATTGTGCTGATATTAAAAATAATTTTTTTAAAAAATTTTTTTAATATATTTTTAAATAAAAAACTCTTTAAATCATTACAGCTATTACAATCCCAAATAATCTTTTAAAATATCTAAAAACAAAGTTTTTACTGGGAATATACAAAAGTAAAATATTACTCAAGTATAATTACTAACTTCTTTATAAAATATTTATTTTTTTTATGAAAAAGTCTTTTAATATATTTTTGTATTTATAAAATATCAAAATAAAATTCCCATACCAAAAATTTCAAAATTTAACTCTCACTTAATACCATTCATCCATTTGAATGTCTTGGTATAAAGATTTTAGATATAAAAAAGTTCTTATTGATTTGGTTGGAAATTGTCATATAAATTTTTATAGTCAACATTCAATATTATTTTTATATTTTGAAATTAAGTTTACAACTATATTATATAGTACATAAATATAACATACAATGTTTATTTTCTTCAGAATAACTATTGTTGCAAAAACTATTTTAATCAAAATCATTTTCACAAGTTAGATATATAGATTTTTATGAGAGGAAAAATTATTTTGGATTATGTGTGTGTATACATATATAACCATACTAAAAACTAAAAACTTTTTAATTAGTTTATCTTACTAAGAATATATTTAATGATATAATTCTATATTTTTAAACCACTTATAATATCAATATTCATATATAATTTTAGAAAGAGTTACATAATTTTTTTAAAAAAACTTTTTTAGAGAATTAAAAAAATCCATGGTTACAAAATAAGTGGAAAAAAATGGAAAAAAAAAAGTTGAGAAGAGAAACAACCTATGTGCTAGAGAGTGGCACTCATCTTCATCTCCAATGTAAATGACATGGTTTTTTTTTCCTATGAATATACTTGGAAATGCATTTAAAACATGATTTTTAAATTTTTTAAATACTTTTTTTTATATAAAATACTTTTTTTATATATTTTTTATGTAAAAATAAATTTTTAAAAATAAAAATATTATTTTAATATAATATTTTAAAAAATTGCAAATCCATCTTTTCCTTTGACAATGTCCACAAAGCTTTCCTCTTTCACTAGCTAGACACGGCATCACTTTCAATCTGTAATGCAAGAGTGCTCTCACATTTTTTCTATCTTTAAAATCATAGTTTTGAACCTAATCTGCCTGATATTTTGATTTGAGACTGAAATCAGATTGGATTTAAAAAAACTAATAATAAAACTTGAAATGATATAATTGATCCAATGAATTGATTTGATAAGATTCATCAAAAACTTAGTTATAATTTATTAATTTTTATTTTTTTATTAAAATAATATTATTTATTTAATAAATTAACCTGAACAACCTAGTAGTCCTGTCAAAACCTGGAACTCAAGTCTTAGACTTGACCAGCTGCTAGTTGGATTTAAAAACTATGTTTAAAACCCAATAATAATAATAATAATAATAACAATAATAAACAATCACATAGCAAGGTTGTTAATTTCGTTTCGTTAGTTGTTTTGTTTTTTAATTAGAATGAAATGTTTAAGTTTCGGAGTATTTCAGTGTACCGTTTTGAGGTTGTGCTGTTTTTATATATATATATATATATATCATTTTGGGGTTGTGCTGTTTTTATATATATATTCAATAAATATAATTTAAATTCAAGGTAAATTAATTATAAATTATACAATACAAACACAATGCCATGCAAATATAATTTTAAATTTTAAAATATTTCTAAATAGTCAAGATTAAATAAATCTTTAACTTAAAGTAATTCAACTTAAATAAAATATCAAAATATTATAAAAATAAAATATTTTAACACAAATATTTTAAATATAAAGTTAGTTCAATGTTATCAAAACTAATGAAATATAAAGTATCTCTTATTTTGCTCAAATTCTTACAAAGTACAAATATATAAAAAAAACATGAATATAAATCATATATATTAGTGATAAGTCTAATTTTAAAATTAATATTATTATTAATAAAAATAGTAATAATACTTTTTAATATTTTTATTAATATCATTGTTATTGAAAATAATAATGAAATTTTTTTTTTTATATTTGGATGGTTTAATTAATTAAATTGAACTATATTCAATTTAACTTAATGACTTTTTAAGATCGAAATAAAAAAATATAGAATAAAACTAGAACATTTGAGTTAAAATTTCATCAAAATATTCAAAATATTTTTCTTTTAAAAATTAATATAATTATTTTTTTTAAAAAAATAACAATCTTGAGCAATAGGCCTGCTATCAAGGTCCAACATGAAGCGTGATGATTCCTGGGAGGCCCAGATTCTCCTCCCTTCATGTTTTTTCAGCCGAAGGTAAAGTAGAGAGCAACTTCTCGAGCAACATCTCCAGTATGTATTTTATTAATTTTCCACTGCTTATATGCACTTAGCATATTAAAATTATCATAATATCTTAAGTTATTTTGATGATCACATTAATATTTATTAAATTAATGTGCTTACAAGATACAAGCTTAATTGCAATTATTTTATAAAAGGTAATGACTTGGCCCTACAAGGAGATTGTTATTTTTATGATTTAATTGGAATAAAATAATAAATGAACATTAAGGATGAATTTTATTATGGACCATCATGTGTAAATAAATCTTATTCTTAGTAATTTATTTATTAGTCTTGTTATCAAATAACTATTAAGTAGAAAAAAATAAAAAGTACAATATGTTTCCTTCAAATAAGAGACGAAAAAAGTATAATAATAGAAAATAACTATATTTTTTAATAGAATTTTGCAAATAGGATCACTATATAAAAAATCTAGTTTGAAATTTCATCATAAAATATTTTTTTTAAACAGTCTTGTGAAATACAAATTAAATAACTATATTTATATTAGTTTTAGGTTTATATTGAAAAAAAATCAAAATAAATAATTATGTAGCTATTACAGTGGGTTCTAAACTAAGAAAAAAATTGTCAAGTTTTGATTTTCTAATCTGAATAAAAATAAAAAAAATTATAAAAAATATTTTTTAAAACTAAATATAAATAAAATATCTAACAATACAAATAAATTTTCATAGGACTTAGTTTAGTAACATTAAATAAAATGAAAAAGTGATAAAAAAGTAATGGTTATAGTATTGACTATGGAATTATGAAAATAATAATGTCTAATGAAATGATATTAGTAGTTTAGTGACATCTCGCGCTTATTGAAAAAAAAAATTAATTTTTATTATTTTAAAAAACTAATTTAGTTGTTTTTAAAATTTAAATATAAAGGCAACCATTCAATTTAATTTGTTTTGATAAAAAATAAAAAATAAATAGAAAACCACAAACCATGACACTATTAAGTACCCACCTCCTTCCTATTTTTAGGCCTCGTGGCCTGTGCGTTGTCCACAAGCCCCAGAACAAGCGCTCTCTCTCCTCACGGCAGAAAACGTGGACGTTTCGTGGCATACCTCCACCTTCGCCACCTCCACCTCCACCTCCTCGTCCTTACCGAACACTACAACAGTAGTCACACACAAAACACATAAGGGGAAGACAACAAACCCACGTAATTTTTCACAAGTGACGACAAAAGAGAGAGAAATAAGGACAGGAATGCTCTTCAAAAAGAAGAAGCCAAAAGGACCAAAATTTTCTTCTTCTTCTTCAATGGCTCCTCCCTCACTCTCTACTCTTCTTCCTCACGCTCGCCACTCTTTCCTCCCCGCTACAAACCCCAATATCACTCACCGTTACATGCTCCCTCTCCGCCCTTCTCATTCTTTATCTTTTGCTGCAAGATTTTCTTCCGACAAGCAAAACGACAGCACCACCGAAAACAGAATCACATACCCACCCGCGCAACCTCCCGCGCCACCGCAGCCGGAGAAGAAGTCGTTTGCTGTTGCCACTGGCGAACTTTTCTTGGGAATTGCGTCGAGGGTTTTGAGAAGCACTAATAAAATTAATTATAATGGGAATGTTGATCACGAGGAGAGGATTGGGGCTGTAATGAAGGATGAGGTTGAGCCTGATGTTATATGGGAACAAAGAATTAAAGATATTGAAGCGGAGAAAGATCGACCTGTGGTTACAAGTCCTGGCTTTAGTTTCTCTGCTGCTGGCTTGTTGTTTCCTTATCATCTTGGAGTTGCTCACTTGCTCATTGAAAAGGGTTATATCAAGGCAGGTCCATTTCTCTCTTTCCTTTTCAATTCTGGTTCTTTCTTGTTTTATCAAGTACTGTGCGCATCATATTTTGAATTTTCTCACTTGGTTTTGATTACTGTCCATTTTCGTTTAGTTTTCTTTTTTTCTTCTTCTCTGGAATTGGAAATGTTTGTGACATTGACTGGGTTCTAGTTTTCTTTTATTTATATTGTTTACCCAATTTTGAGTTTTCTGCATGTAACTTTTGAATGTTCCAGTTGCGGAAATTCGTCAATTTGGACAGTTCTACTTGCTTTATTCTCGTTTTATTCCCTAAGAAAATTAGAAACTTCCAATGTAATTAATCCATGTATTGTATTGACATGATCAAATTAACTCAAGATGTTGTCGTATTTGAAACTTGTGCATAATACAAGAAATAAAGTAGAAATAGAAAGCGGAAAAGAATCCACTTCTCTTTATATCCTTGGATATGATTTTTCTTTGACGTTGTATTTAGGTTGTTTAGCCAAACTGGAGATCAATAGTTCTAATCTTTAGCTCAAGCCTCTGTTTTTTGTTTTTGTATTTTCTTAATGTTCCAAACAGGAAACCACACCATTAGCTGGTTCCTCCGCTGGCGCTATTGTATGTGCTGTGATTGCCTCTGGGGCTAGTATGCACGAGGCTTTAACA